AGCTACTTGTCTTAAACACTTAGCAAATCAAGGATCATTTTGACTTCCTTAACATTACTGAAAGATTCTCTATTCTTAGGGAACTTTGCAGAATAAGTCTCGGATTTACTTCCTTAGCTACTTTGATTCTCGTCTATTCTAGACTCGATCAAAGTGGGGGCTAACTATAGACATCTACATTTGGCCTCTTGTCTCGATCGGAAGTGTTATGACGATAAATAAAACTATCTTTGTGTTGAATTAACGTAAAGAATGCTTATGGACAACTAATTGAGCCACAAAAATGCATAACATCTAGCCTAACCTAAAACAAAATGAATTAAAGCCCAAATTAACTAAGATTTAGAGGCGCCTAGGTTAAAAATTAAAGCTGTTGCAGAAAAATCCGCACACATCTCAACGAGTCGCGCTGGTCTGGCGTGCGCAACTCATAAGGTTACGTGTGACACCCAGCGCAATGTCTAATGATGCGCTTACGGAAGATTCAAAATTTCATAAAAATATAAAATCGAATCTTACCATAATATCGCGCGCAGGACATCTAGTTCAGGGCAGCGCTTCTAAATCACTTGCGCTGGGCTATCGCGCGCAACCCATTTAGATGCGCGCGACACCTGCTGTGGTAGAACACTTGAAACCCTAAATGCAGACAGAAATTAACCCAAAACTTTGGCAAAAACTTTGTACTCTTAACCCTCTTGTCCTAAACACTCACCCCCTCAATACTTGTTACTACGGTGGAGGTTCCCGAATAAGATGGAGTCCATAAGTTTTCTAAACGAAGATCTAGCAAGGAGAAGTGGTAAATTCTCGAGCACTTAGATCAATCACCTTTACTTTCTTGGTTAAATGACTTGTAATCAATTAATTAGTGTTGTTTGATCACTTAAAACAATTTTTTAATTAATTAATTCTACATAGTATCTTGTGTTAAATAAAGAATAGAATTGAATGATTAATTAGTGATTGACAATTTATAAGTGTTTTTTTTCCAACTTTCAATCACCAATGATTTAATTGATAAATCTAATATAAGGCAGGCTTACGTTAATTTTATTGTAAGACGCTCAATTTAAGGGTAATTTTAATAATTTTCATAGTAACTTTAATCCCTTTAAGGATAACTTTTAATTTGTAATGAGTTTGATTGTATTTTAAATTTTTTCTTTTTTTTTTACAAGAGCAAAGACCAAACCAAACTAAGAACTAGACATAAAATTAGTTAAAGTAATTCGACAATGTTTTGCAATGTCGTGCACCTTTTGAACTTGATCTCTTTGGACTTTTAAGATTGCGCACCTTTGGAATGTTCCTCCCACTTCTTTGATCTCTTTGATCGTCCACGCTATCGAGACCTCCTTACCAATCCCTTCTTGCAGATTGTTGATAAGCTCAACTGAATCAGTTAGGATTAAAATCCCTTGTTCTCCCCTCGATTTAGCCCATTTTAAAGCTTCCAAGCAAGCTCACGCCTCACATTGTAGTGCAGATGAAGTAGCCCCATGTTTACCTCCCCCTTGTATGACTGTATTAGTGCTTCCATTACTCGTGACAGCCCATCCTATCCCTGACCTTGTAGAATGTTTGTCCCATGCACCATCGACCTCTATAATGAACCTACCATAAACAGTCTTGTCAATCCCCAAATTTACTTGAAAGAAACTCGGGGTGTGACTAGGCTCATTCCTAGTATCACCATCTAACCATTCTAATTCTCTATTGACTAAACATAAATCTCGTGGTCTTGTAAAGCCATGTTGATGAATTCCGTAGCCAGGCTCGTACTTCCCCTTGCCCCATTGAAGACTTTCTCATTTTTGGCTTTTCACAACCCCCACAAGGTTGCGATAAAGGTCGTCATACGCATACTATGTCTACCATCCTCGCTATAAAAGAGTAGGATATGATGCTGAATCCATTTCCGTAAAAAATTGAACTCAAGAGACTCAGAGAAAATAGTCAGGGAGCCATTTCCCCAGACTTCCTTTGCTAGATCATAAAACAAAAAAAGGTGTTGACTTTCCTCTCTTTCCACCCCACAAAAATCACAGGCTTCCTCAACATGTATCCTCCTATTTGTTAGGTTTCTCTTTGTCGCTAAACCATCATGAAAAAGCCTCCACATGAAAAGCTTCAATTTTGGTTGGATGTTTAACCTCCATATCAGCTTCACAAATTCTTGATCTGCAGACGAAAAGTTATTCCTTTCCATGCCCTTCCCTTTAGAGAGAAAGTATCTTATTTTCACAGTGTACTTCCCTAATGGATGATGCTTTCAGTAAATGTAGTCATCCTCGAGACTTGGAGGAAGATCCATTAATAAGATGACCTTAGAACTTTTCCACTCAAAGCACTCTCTCACCTTCATTCCCTGCCTTCCAAGTCATAGTACCAGTATCAATGAAATCACTAACCTTCCAAAGCATTGATGCTCTCAAGGTTTGTGTTAATTTAATAGTCGGGATTTCCCCTTGGACCCAAGGAGAGCTCATAGCCTTTATACTCATACCATTCCCAACCTTCCAAGCATAACCCTTTTTGAAGCAGCCAACGGATCTGTGCAGGCTAGATCTACCTAAGTAGGGATGACCAAAGCCCTTATATGGCCTTGCCATATTGCAAATGCCACATTTTTTACACCCTCCATGAACCCTTGAAAGTAGCAACTGCGGATTAAGATGCAATCTCGTTGCTTGTTTGAAAAGCAAGGCATCATTTAGGGTGGTCGTTCCCCTAATCCCTAAACCTCCCATGTTCTTTGGTAGCTGAGTAACAACCCTACTAACCAGTGCAACCCCTTGTTTCCATTGTTGGACCACCAAAAAATCTTTTGATTAGCGAATCAATCTTGTTTGCTATAATTTGAGGCAGCTTAAGACATTTCATAACATGAGCTGAAATGCTTACCAAAACTGTGTTGATAAGAATTAGTTTTTCAGCTTGAGAGAGATTAAGAGAAGCCCAAGATAGAATTTTCTCTGAAACCTTTTCCACCAGATATTGGAATGAGTCTCTCCTCCTTCCTTAGATATCAATTGGGGCTCCCAAATGAGTTCCCATGTTATAGATCTCCGTCATTGAGAGGATAACTTTTAAAACCACTTTCATTCCCTCATCTAAACCAGGAGAAAACTTCACAAATGACTTTTGTAGATTTAGTTGTTGACCATAAGCCTCACCAAATCTATGAAGAATGTCATTAATGCATCGACAAGAATCCTCAGTTGCCTTGAAGAAGAGCATAGCATCATCTACAAAGAAAAGATGGGAAATAGAAAGGGAGCGTCTTGACACCCTTAACCTTTTGAATTGTTTAATGTCTTCAGCCAGAGTTAACATTCTTGAAAGAATGTCCATATAAAGGATGAAAAGATATGGCGATAATGGGTCCCCTTACCTTAGACCACAATGCGGAGTAAAACCCGCAGTAGTTTTCCTGTTGATAATAGTCTTAAAACTGACCGTTGAAACATATTGTGCAGTCATCTTGATCCAGTGTGTCGAGAAGCCATAAGCCTGTAATACCTTAAGTAAAAAGAGCCAGTCGACTCTGTCATAAGCTTTTGATATATCGATCTTCAACCCTGTGAAGTTAGGGCCCTTCTTTGAGTTTATAAGATGCATAAGCTCATGACTTAGAAGAATATTATCTTCCATATATACCTTCCTGGGATAAGGGCATGTTGATTCTCAGAGATAATGCTTGGCAGAATAGTCTTGAGTCTATTTACCAGGCATTTAGAAATGCACTTGTACACTGTATTGCACAAACTGATAGGTCGTAACTGACTCACGAGTTCTAGCAGCCTGACCTTCGGAATTAGAACTAACAGAGATTGATTCCACTCCTTTAGCATAACTCCTATTCTCAAAAATTGTTGAACACTATCCACTACCAGTTGCCCTACCTCTTTCCAGTAAATGTGGAAGAAATCAGCTGTAAAACCATATGGCCCCGGAGATTTAGACCTATGCATACCAAACATAGCCTTCCTAATCTCCTCATCTATAAATGGCCTATCAAGCCTTTCCCTATCTTTCGACGAAATCACCGAAACGTTCAATTGTTAAAGAAGCAAATCAATATCTTCATCATGATTATTAAGGATGTTGGGATTATACACATCCTTAATCGAGTTTAAAATTACCTCTTCCACTGCATGTTGACCCTCCACCCAAATATCCTCATCATTCCTTATTGTAAGTATTTCTTTGTTTAGTTGCCTTTGTTTCACACGTCTGTACATCATAAAAGTAGGACAATCCCCCAGCTTGATCCATTTAGATTTCATTCTCTGCCTCAAATAATCAAAACTCAATTGACACCCCGAAATACGGTTGTTAAATGATGAATATAATTTTCTCCCTACTGAACCGAGGTAACTCCCAATCCTGAGTTATTGAGGTCTTTAGATAGCACCCTCCAGTTGATACCCTAGACTTTCCTGTTATCCAAACACCAATATTGAATTTTAGTTCTTAAGAACCTTAACCTCTTGGATAGTCGATCCATACAAGACTTTTGAGCTTTTATCTTCCAAGCATTAACCACTAGTTCCTTAATTTTCGGAAATTTAAGGCATCATCTATCGATTTGGTACGACCTATTAGACTTCATAGCACTAGGATGCAGAATGTATGTGATAGTTTCATGATCCGAACATATTATAGGCTCATGAAAAATTCTTCCCTCCGGAGAATGCTGGAACCATTCCTCCGTAATATAGGCTTGATCAAGCCTTTTCAAAATCAAACCATCTTGTTCTCTTTTGTTACTCCACGTGAATCCTGGACCCGAGAACGGAACTTCGGTCACATTACTACTAAACCTCCAATCTAGAAAAGCATTTATCCCTCTATTCATAGTACTACCTCCTACCTTATCACTTCCACTTTCAACTTGGTTAAAATCCCCTATAACCAAAACTTTCTTATATTCTTCCAAAAACCAATGGAGTTGCTCCCAAACAATTTCCCTATTTTCAACTTGAGGCTCACCATAAAAGAACATTACATACTTAACATTTCCATTAGCTTCCAAGATTTTACAAAATACAAAGTTTTTAGGCGAGTACAAGCATTCCACTACATCATTAGTCCAAGCTAGTACTAAAAGACCCCCGCTACTTCCTTCCGCATCCCACCCAGAAGAGAAGCTCCTAAACTATTTAACTTAGTAGATGCACTAACATAAGCCATTTTTGTTTCAGAAATAAACATATACATAGGTAGTTTTGACTTATAGAGCCACACTAGATACGGAATTGCAAGGGAGTGTGGATCGTTCAAGCCCCTACAATTCCAAGAAACCATTGTCATATTTGATTTGGGGCCTGATCTGGTTCAGTGCCCTCACCCATTGAGATCCTCTTCATCGACTCAAGAATAGTCACTTGCAAGTCCACGCCCATATCATCTCTGATCTGCCGATACACCGATGTCACTTCTTCACTTTTTTAACGCTTGTAGGAATCAGAATTGGAGAAAGAATCATCTTGACAGCGCTTGTTCTTACCCCTTCTTACAATATCATCATCGTTGTCCACACCAATTTCCTTTGCCATATCCGGGTCTCAAATTGCTTTGGAAGCAAATCTCTTCGACCCCTTTTCATCCTTTAACCAGATATTAAAACCCCCCTTTCTCTGACCACCTGTGATATCTTTTAGCCCTTTTTGGCTTTTTCGTTCCACCAGAGTATAATCTGACTCACTTTCTCTAACGGAATCGCCATCACATGAGTGCTGTAAGTGGCGAGTTGCTTCCTTGATCCTCTTCCTTGTATTGGCACTGTCATCATAATTAAAAAACTCTGTAAATTAAACGAACTAAGATGCGAGACCGGTGTTACCGGTGTGTTTGAAGGATTGAACTCTGTTAATGGCAAATTCACCATTCCAGCCAACTCTTCCGAATCCAAGCGCAAGAAAGGGGGTGTAGCAGGTCTTGCATTTCGGAACGACCTATCATTCCCCTAATTTCTTGCGGATCTTATTCCCAAAGTGAAAATTGTGCTAGCCTCCATTATGCACGCAAACTCCTCATCTGATAAATTTGCATCATCTCTTCTCTCTGTTGACATACTTATTGCATTAGCCATATCATCATTCGGCATTCTTGACATCACAGGAATGTGAGTTTCAAATCACACCCTCTCATAACTCTGCCCATAGAAAACGGCAAGCCTGGATGCCCACTCCGAAATACCCAGAGTATGGAAAAAGGAACCTAGCCCAGCCTGGTGTTGTTGCTCTTGCTATGCCAAGGAGGACTCTCCAACCTCATACGTCGATCTAGCAAAGTTTGGCCTTGACGGAGGTGGTATTGAGTGATGTGTTGGTGAGGTAAAGGCCCTGTCAGAATTAAGCCTCCATGGCTTGAAGCCTGATCCCGTTGCTTGCGGGCTTGACTCAAAAAACAAACTTCTTTGTACATTAGTGTTAGTTTCATTCGTATGTTGACTTCCTCTTCCTTGAGTGAACTCGGCATATGGATCGTTACCCAACCCCAGCCTTCTTCTTGGTGAAAGAGCCACATCTGGTTGAGTTTGTGCTCTCTCAACCTCCACCAATTCAGATTCATTGAGTGATTGCCCATCCGAAAGATCTTCTTCCCCTGATTAAAAGAAATCAGTTTCATCAGTTTCTTGTAATGGCTGCTCCATATCAAACGGTTGCCCATCCTCGAACGCTAACTCGTCCCTTCGGATCCTCCTGTAAAAAGGAACATCATTAGGGATATTGTGATGTCTCAAATCCGCATTAGTGTTTCGAAACCTGTATCTATTTGGCAAACCTTGAATAAAGTTAGAGTGAAAAGGATATTCAGTAGGACCGTACAATACCCGTATTCCATCCGCTTCAACTTCATCAAGCCTACGCCTTACGCGTCTTCTCGCAATAGTGGGATGAATAGCACATCTTGATGTTGCGTGCCCTGCACACCCACAGATTTTACAAAATCTGAAAAGACCTTCATACCAAAAGTAAACCCAAATCACCCTATCCCCTTCCAATGGTATAAAACAACCTAGAATTAAGGGGATGGATTGATCAATGATCACTCTTGCTCTAAGTTCAGCTTGGAGAGGTAAGTTCTCCCCTTCCTGATCTATCTCTTTAATGTACCCAATATGCCGAGATATTTGTCTTTCCCACCCATTTGTAAGGTAGGTTAGGGGTAGTCCATACACCCTTACCCACATCCTTGTTAATGTGAAGTTCGGCTGCTGAGGCACGTAATCAGTTTGGTACCCCCTGAAGTTAATCATCCTTCCGTCGATTATTGTTGTATTGATTCGGATTAGACCCTCCTGGTTTGTCTGTTCCTACATTCAAATAAAAAATATATTCCAGATCGATGAACTCTAATTTCTCCCCTCCTCATCCATCTTGAGTTTACAATGAGTTGCACAAACGTGCTTGAAGGAGGGTGGGGCCCAACAAAGACCCCAATAACACAAGAATTGAAATTTATATTCCTATTTGTTAAGTCAAAATCTGGTGGAGGAGGAATAAGGGTCCCCATTCAGATCTAGATTTTGTTGCTCATTATTATGAGCATCAAAGGAATTTGTTTGTTTGCTCATAACTTAGAGAATATTTGAAGTAAAGAAGAAGATATTAAGAAGAATGTTTCATAAGCACAGAAGAGGAACTTAGGAAAAACAAGAGTAAAGAATTAGAAGTTGAGTTAAACTGAGGTATATTCCTCACATTTATAGCCCAGGAAAACGTTTTGGAAGTTGCACACTTTCAAGTAGGGCTGTACACCGGTTCAAAACCGGATCGGACCTGGACCGGACCTGTTAGGACCGGGACCTGAATCAGCCAATTTTGAGGACCGGGGACCGAACCTAATTCAGCAGGTCCGGGTCAGGTCCAGACCTGAGCAATCAGGTCCGGGTCAGGTCCAAACCTGAACAGACCTGTTTTGTGTGTGTTTTTTTTTTAAAGAAAATAAATAACCCGTTGGACCTGTTTATAGACCTGTTTATGGATCTGTTTACATAAAACCTAAAAATATCAATAACAAAAACTACATAAAATCTCTAAGTCTCAAATATAACAAATAATTCATTAAATTACATGAAGTCTCTAAGTCTCAAATACTATAAATACATTAATTATCCAAAGACAACTTGAATTTTGGCGAGTTGCTTTCCCTTTGATTGCCTGATTCACACTAATGAGTATAATCCGTGGTTCTTGTTGATCCTAAACATATAAAATGATAGAATTCAATTACAATTCAAATTGAATTCACAAATTTAACAGAATACATACAAAATATACAATACACTAGCATGTGGTACAAACCGTGCAATACACCATTTGATTAGTACACTGTCCAACAAATTTACAAAAATTCACAGAATACTACATTGCATATATTCTGAAAATATAAACAGATTTTAAACTGTTCCATAAGTTATACAACAAGTAGAGTAGCCTATCCCTCATTTATCAATCTACTCCCAGCAAATTCACAATATAAACAGATTTTAAACTCACAAATCGAAAGAAACCAAAATTCAACATGAATTCGAAACAATTGAACTAAAAAAATTCAAAAACAGTTACTTTAAATAAATAAAAAACTCAAAAAAAAACATGAATTCGAAAAAAATGAACTAAAAAACAGAATTTCAACATGCAAACATCAAACAATCATTATTAGCAATTGAAACATGAATAAACATATGAATGCCACACATTTAATTCAACATTTCAAATTAAAAAATATCCAATTCAAATATAATTCGATTTAATTAAAAAAAAAAAAAAGAACTTACAAATCCCACCGTGAAGGAGTTCGTGCAGGTGGACGAAGATGGTAGTCTGGCTGATGCAGCGTATAGAGGTTTCCGTGCTGCTGGTCTGGTGGGCGGTGGCGACTGGTGTCTGTGCAGATCTGCTGCGTGAGGGAGTGAGTGTTGGTGTGGTGTCGGTGTCGGCTGAGAGAGAGAGTGCGTGAGTGAGGAGTGAGTTAGGGTTAGTGGGTAAGTGGGTTACAAAAATGAACAGACTTGTTTTGAAATTTGGATTTTTTTGTTTTTAATAAAAAAGACATTTTTACCGGATTTCAGGTCCAAACCTGAAAACCCCGGGTTTGGACCTAATCCGGACCGGGACCGGGAACCTTGATTTTCAAGGACCGGGACCGGACCTAAATCTACAGGTCCGGGTCAGGTCCGGTCCAAACAGGTCCGGGTCAGGTCGGTTTTTAGGTCCGGTCCTGTTTATGTACACCCCTACTTTCAAGCATGGGGAGCAAGATCTAGAGAAATAAATAAACAGACCTAAATAGCTGCCTCTAGCTATATTAATCTGCACCAGTGAACATTCAGTACAATAAATGCACCAATGGCATTGCTTGCATGTAGTTGCCAAAACACCAAACCAAACAGCTGTATTGATAGAAACAAGAAAAGGGAGAAAGGCTTAAGCCTATCCTAGAAGTCGAGGAGTTGTTTGCAAGAATGAGGAAAAGCAGCTCCTTGGATACAGAAAAATGGATATTTATCCACTAACAGAAGCAATCCAATAGAGGAAATCTTTCCACCTACTAGGAGCTAAATATCCTACACTCAATTAGCACCAGAAAATCTTAGTAGATCTTTTAAGGATAACAAATTGCTCGATGAAGGCAGCCTTGGAATGAAACCTAGCTGAGCTAGATAAGAAACTTACTTTTTAGTGACAGAAGCACTCTTTTAACAAGTGTTACAATAACTTAATGTAATTCCATCTTAATAAAGAATTTGTGTTCAATCACAAGCTTGGAAACCTTAAATACTCAAAATCTAAGCACCAACTTTTTTTTAAATTTCTTTTTTATAAATGACCTCCAAAAAATTTCCAACATTCGGAATTCTCATAGTAAACTTTTTTATTCTTATAATTTCCACTTCTACTTTTATTTTGAACGTACATACATAACGTATATTTCGTTTGATAGCACTAATACACTTTAGTTAATTAAAATGGGTAATTATTGGTTACATAGGCTAAGCTAGAATTGCAAGGATGAGAATTTAGAGAGTTGTGGTTAAACGATAAAAATATAACATAGACACACAAATAATGGATAATCATTGTTTTTCTAAATGAAAAAATAAAAAACTATAGATAGGCTAAAATTGCAATGATTAGACTTTATTTGTAGTGATGTGAATGAAAGTTAGGGTCTGTTTTGTCAGCTTAATTTCAATTTAGTTCAGTTGTAGTGCTATGAATGAACACACACATGTCAGCAAAAAGCCGAGTAATCACTACTGATCAAAATACAAAGAACAATAGAACAATTAATATAATTAGCTCACTAAACAATGTAGTTCAAAACTACATTACACATTGTAATATGGAAATAACCTTTATCAACTCAACCTCAAATAATAATACGAACCTTTAATCAATTGACTCATCTATCCCTTAAGTGTGTCACACTCTTTGCTCTATACCTAGCCTTGGACATGGGTAATTCAAATAACAAACTAAAAAGTATAAAAACTTGAATACTCTCAATAACCAGAAAACACCTCTAACCATGACTAACATATGAGTTAAATCCCAATGTATGGGACCATAGAAAATTATAAAATAAGATTGTATCTCATTCTTAACTCATGATTATTATTATTTTCTTACCAATATGCCAAGGACTAAGGTTTATAGCGTCGAGCCTCAAACTATGAATAAAATAATATGCTCAACCTTTTGATCTCGTACTTCGGTCGAATAATCATTCACAAACTAACTGATAATATTTCAATAATGGTACATGATCCCAAATAACGTAGCAATTCGATTCATAAATATCTCAACTCTTGGGGCAATAATACTAGCTCCCAAAATTAATTAATTCTCCACCCAAAAAAAATATTAGTAACCCTAAAACCTCAATATTAAAAGCAACAACATTAAAACCCTAGGAAACTAACACAATAAATCAATGCGATAATTTAATCATATAATACCACACACTAATCATATACGTATAATCTTGATCGTAAGAATAGCAAATATAAAATTTACACATAATAAAATAGAGTACAATCGATCAATAGACAAATTATACCGTAACAACTCCAATAACTAATACAATCAAATTATAATCAAACAACTACAAAGGATCCACTGTGTGATTACCTCACGAAAACATGGCTAAATTGCCGGAAGAGTGTAAAAATAATTAGCATGACTAGCGTAAGGTAATATGGACTTTAATTGTTTAATTAATGGGTATTGGCTTTAGATTGTTATTTGATTACAGAAAGGGTGAAAGATTGTCGCATGATATAAAGGGTGAAAGATTGTCGCATGATATAGATTGAGAAGGGAATTGATGAAGTTTGAGCATTATTTTTTTATTTTATTTTTTATTTTTTTGAGAAACGGTGAAGTTTGAGTATAAGACAATTAAACTAGCGGAACAAGCTTGCAATTATTTATTTTTTTTATTCTTTATTTTTTGTTTTTTTAGAAACAGTGAAGTTTGAGTATAAGACAATTAAACTAGCGGAACAAGCTTGCACAGGTCAAAGCTTAGAGTTTTGAGAAGGAAAAACACGACTGCACATACAGCCATAAATATACACACATAGGGTTTAAGATAATTAATACTTCCTCTATTCTATTAATATTGCAACAAGGAGGAAATTACGCATCCATATGCACATTTTATTTGCTAAATATTTATAAATGTGTAAGAGTAAAAATTATAAAAAGTTGAGATTGTGAAAGTATTTTATGAGACGAATCCAACAAGATCCCACATGACTATATTTTGTTTTATGATCAAACAAGAGTGATGAGTAGTGTAAAAAGTCCATTGTTGCAATAGTAACAGAAAGAAGGAAGTATAAGATATTAAATAATTTAAAATATCTTATTTTAGCCATAAAATATATTTGATAAAACCTTAAAATATTCGGTATTACAATCTACCCTTACCTCCTTAAAATAAGTCTCGACCCCAATACTTAAAATAGGAAAATAACTTGTAAATATAAGGGAAAGTAAAAAACTAAACCAAACTTTTCTTTATAAAATATTGGAAAGATTGCCCGCAATAATTCGACCTTTAGCTCATCCGCCCAAAATAATACCACCTTTTGATTATTTTTTAATAATCCGACCTTTACTGTCAATTCGCTTAAAATGGTCTCAATCGGTCATTTAACTTGTTATACTAAGTTACATGACATGTGTTGGCATCTGATTGGACTAAAAAAAATAAAAGAAAAGAAAAGAAAAAAGAAAAAATTAAACTTATTAATTAATTAAAAAATCCACTAGTTTCATAAAAAAAATAAAATATAAAAACCAGCCCAACCACCTTCCATGGTATCCCATCAACCTTCCCCGCTGCCTGTCGCTAAGCACCAGAGCGTCGCGTCGACTACTTTCCCCTTTCCCCGTGGAATCGCCGACTCCTTTCCCCCCCACTAAACCACCAACCACCCACTAAAATACCCTTCCCCGTCCCAATCTCGATCTTCCTCTCCTTCCCTGCCACATTTCCGGCTCTCTCCCCTTCCCCTGTTCATTTTCTGGCCCCTCCCCTTCCCTTCACACCGATTTTGACCCCCTTTCCCAAGCCTCAATTTCAGCCACCCTCTCCTTCCCATGACTTGATTTTGGTAATGGGTTCGGTGGTTTAGAGGTGAAGGAAGTGGTGAG